CCCAGCCCGACTGCTGGAGCGTGAACCTCTCGGGGAGGCTCCAAGGCAGGGCTGAGGTCTTCAGAACCAGCTGGCTCATTAAAGACCTGACTGCTCACGCCACGGGCCTCACACTGGAGCCCACCTGTACCGCCGCCTCCTGAGACGAGAGACAGCCGTTCAACCAGACGCGCCTGGCCGAATGTGACCGGGAACAGGCTCCCAGCCCGACTGCTGGAGCGTGAACCTCTCGGGGAGGCTCCAAGGCAGGGCTGAGGTCCTCAGAACCAGCTGGCCGAGACGTGCCGGCCCCTGGCGCACGTGGGTTCCTTCGCGCCGAAGGCGCTCGAGACCCTGTGGGCTCACGAGCAGCTCTGACCCCTCCCTTGAGGCATCTAAATTAGTGGCCTTGCCTGTAATAGGAGTTTTCAGCGGGAATAACTTTTATGACCCAGCTGCAGGGCAGGCGGACACCTAAACCTCTGCTCCTTATTGTCCTTCACGTGACCCTCCTCCGTCTGAAGCCCCAGGCGCCTGACGGCTCCTCAGCTGACTGTCGCTGAACCTCTCTGAACCTCTCCAGTACATGGGGCTCCCACGTGCACGTGTGTGAACTGGTTTTTCTCGTTAATCTGGCCCGCCGCATGCAGACTCCTCAGACCAGCGAGAGAACCTAGGCGGGGAGAGGAGTTTCTTCCGCCCCACAGAATGTCCCACAGTTCGTTTACCCATGTTCTGCTGAAGGACATCTCGGTGGCTTCCCAGTTTGGGCAAGGACAAGCAAAGCTGCTGTGAAGCTCCGCGTGCAGGTTTCAAGTGCACATCAGCGGTCAGGTCGCCTGGGGGAAGGCCACGGAGCGCGACTGCGGGTCACGGGCTCAGCGCGCTTAGTTCTGCGAGGCGCTGAGACCGTCTCCGCGCGCGCTCCGCGCTCCTGCTGCTCTTGGCCGCGTCTGACTCTAGCCGGCACCTCCCTGGTGACAGGTGGGCGGAGCGTCTTCCCACGCTCGGTTCCCACCTGCACCGCTGAGCTGAAGTGCCTGTCTGCCTGCACCTTACACCTGTGTTTTTTTTCCCCCCTCTTTTATTCCCCCCCTTTCGCCCATTTTTAATTGGGTCGTTTTCTCATTGCTGAGTTTTAAGGGTCCTTTGCACATCTTGGATACAAATCCTTTGTCAGATCAGTTTTCTAAGTCTTCCCTACCAGTCTGTGGTGCGTCTTTCACGGTCTTAACAGTCAACATCATTTCTAGATTTATATATACGTAGCTGCACAGGAACATAAATGTCCCGAACGTCGCCAGCAGATCAGGGGGTCCATGGAGTGCGCTGCTCCCACGTGACCCTTGCGGCAGCAGTGACACGGGTCGGGCTGCCGCAGACGCAGCACGGCGCCACGGAACCGCCACGCCAGGCCCAGCGTGCGCCGGGCGACTCCAGCGCTCGGAACCACAACGGGCCAGAGGGCGACGCTGGCCGATCGGCAGTGCCCTGGGGCCGGCGCTGAGGACTGGCTGCAGGGCTCAGAGGGAACAGCGGCATCGTCTGTTCAGTGGCGGCAGGTGGCTGTAGCCACGTGTGGAAACTCACTGAGCTGAGTACTGTAACTGGATACACGTTAAATTAAATTATACACCAACAAGACTGACTGAAGAAGGGTGAACCTACTCCCCCAGAGTAACGGAACTTGTCAGACCCATAAAATGAACAATAATACACAAGCCCAAACTGGAAGCTTAAGAAAAACCCGTTTCCTAAACTTTTAACAATGTGTTCATGTTTGAAAACAGACATAACCTGTAGCGAGTGTTTCCTATACACGAAACCTTCCCCCTAGGGCATCCAAAGCTCTGATGTAACGGTGGCCTCCCCAACACCCCGGCCGGCTGAGAAGGCAGCCAGCCCAGGAGGGACCCGGTGCCCGCATGGCCAGTGGGGTGGGGCTGGGGGGAGGGTGCAGCTGGGTCTAAGGTGGTGAGAATGACTCAGCACAGATGAACCTGTGACCCACGTGCCCACGTTCTTCTTGGAAGAAGTAGCAGAGCCACGGAGAGCAAGAGAGCTCTCCTGTGACCCACGTGCCCACGTTCTTCTTGGAAGAAGTAGCAGAGCCACGGAGAGCAAGGACCGAGGCACTGCGGGGGTGACGGAGCCGCCGGGGACAAGCTGGGAGCAGGCTGCAGGCAGCAGAGCGAAGTTACAGGGCCGGGAGGGCCGGAGACGGTGAGCTGCAAAGAGGCCCAGTGTCCCCGAACAGAACTTGAGAGAAGTGCCAGGAGCCTCTGAATCCCTGCCGCCCTTTAGATGGATTGGCACGGGTTCAGGACAGGGCCTAGGAGTCTCTGTGGCCGCTGGCTGGGCAGCTCAGGAGAAGGGCCAGAGCAGGGCGAAGAGCTAGGGACCCACCTACAAGGGTCCGCAGCTGCTGCCCTCAGGGACCCAGGTAGGAGGGCGGGCACCTGCGGAACGAAAACCAATGCCCTGCCCTTGGGGGGGCACCCCAGGACACCCTGCATGGGCTCACTCTTGCTGGGGCGGTCACCTTCTTCCTTGTGACACTTCTTGCCTGGTGACATCGTAACTGCTCATCTCTGACCTACTTTCACAGCCATGTGAGGACACCCCTTCAGTCCTGCTTCTTGGTCCTCCCTGCCTAGCTGTGCCCAGCAGACCCCACAGACCCTCCACACTGACAATCAATAAAGGAAACCTCAGCGACGTGGAGGCGGGCCAGAGGGGGCGCTCTCGCACAGTGCCACCGTGTCCCTACAGACCCCAGCGGAATCCCCCAGAGGAAGGACCGGCCCCTACAGCCCCGACGAGACGATGCACATCACATCCTCCCCCAGAACCCGGCTGCCTAGCGACAGCCTGTCAACCTGTCACCTCCCTGGGCTTTCCTTCTAACAGCCCCTCCCAACCTCTCCTTTGTCTCCGTAAAATGACGTTCCTTTCCTTTGCCTGCTGGACTTACCTATGGCTTTGATAATACTTGTTCATCCAGAGTTGCAATTCTTTGCTGTTCCCAAATAAACTCATCTTTGCTGGTAAAATAACTCATTTTTATTTTTAAAGTCAAGAACACCCAGCTGGACCAATTCACAGAGAAGATCGAGTCCTATCTGGACATCCCCTCTCAGCAGACGCGGGCTCCTGCCAATGGCCTATCATCGTATCCACAGGCCCAGTGTCCCCCCAGGACTGCTGCAGTGAAGGCAGTTCCAGAGGGTCCAACGCGCAGCCCAGCTCAGTTTCCCCAGGGACCCCACTACCCACGCCCCAGCCTGGGCGGCTCTACCTGCCACAGGCTGGCAGTGCCACCGAACGGGGCTGGGCAGGCCCCAGCAGCAGGTCGAGGCAGGAGGCCATGCCTAGCGGGGGCTGGGAGACCAGAGGAAGGCCGTGGAAAGCGGGCTGGGGCCGCTGTGGGGAAGGGGCAGAACTCAGACGGGGGGCCGGAATCTTACAGGCAAGGGAAGATGTGAGGTCCTCAAGTGAGCAGAGCCCTGGGCCCAGATGCCCTGGTAGCCGTTTCTAAGCAGAAACACCTCAGCCACGGCCACGGAGCTGAGCTGGGTTATGAGGTGCACCGTGGGTAGCTCTCAAGTGCCCGCACAGGAGGCCTGCCTGGAGCCACCTGGCGTTTTAACAGGCGCTGACACCTGCAGAGTGAGTGACAGAGTTCGTACACACTCCCAGGCAGACATTACGAGCCTCAGTTTATAGAAACAAGGGGTGGCTCCAAGAGGGGAGGTTCACAAGCCCCGGCCCCACCCACTGAAGCTGGCCGGTGGTCCCCTGGCACTGCCGGGCCTCCAGCGCCTCCCTCCACCTGTCCCCACCCAGTACAGGCCTCCAGATCCCTGCTGGCCTCCTCTGGCCGTGTCCCCAGAGCAAGTGGGGCCTGGGTTCTGATGGTGGCAGTCACCCAGGCCCCAAGTTCGGAGGAGCGAGGGGGGCACGTTGGCATCAGGGGATCCAGGGGTGAGCTCCAGGGCAGCAGCTTCCCTCCCTCGCACTCTGCACCTAGCCGCTAGCTCTGTCCGCAGACGACACTGCAAAGACCGCCCACCCCCTCCCCGCCTGCGCCACCCGCCAGACACGCAGCTGATGTCTCACGGCCGCTTCAAATGCTCCAAAAATCAACACGGAGGACAAGAGTGCTGCCCACTGAGGGGAAACCATCTGTGGTGGCACAAAGCCCCGCACTGCCCAGGCCTCGACCTCACGGGCTGCGAGCCCGGGACTTCTAGTGAGAAAGACAAGCTGGGTCTCGGTCCCTTTTCCTGGCGCAGAGGCCCGGAA